TTTCCTCGTATTACCACACATTTACTGGTGTCCAAAAGGTTAGTTAAATGTGCTTCATAAAATTAAATGGTGCATTCTACAACACTTGAGTTGATTCTTTATTTTTTTGTTGACCATGCTTGTATGAAGAATAAATAAAAGGGATGTACAATTCAGTTTTGATTATAACCAATTCTCATTTTTGCAAATTATGTAAAGTATGATAAATGAACTGGCTTAGGCATAGATTTAAAATTCATTCCATTCAATATTTGTGCTTCACTAAATTGACTCTAGAATTGAATGTATTTTACACTCTTCTAGTTATATGACAACAGCACTATTATATAACCAAAAACTTTGAGTTATATTTACTTTGGCCTAAAAACTGATAGCAGAGGCACAGTCCTTTGGATCCCATATTTAGTTCAATCAGAAGTTACATGCACATTTCTATAGTTTGTTAGGATATAACAGAGGAAACTAGGAATAGGATATAATATAGGATACAGGATATGTAGATTTTCCATAGACTCAAACAAGTAAAACTCCATCCAGACTACTGAATATCCTCCTCTTTCCCAGTTCAGACTGTTAAATAACCTCCCTTTTGCCTGATCCCTAGGCTGAGATGGCTGCTAACCGCATCTGCAAAGTGCTGAAGGTCAACCAGGAGAACGAGCGCCTCATGGAGGAATACGAACGCCTCACCTCCGACCTGCTGGAATGGATCCGTCGAACTCTGCCTTGGCTCCAGGCCCGCCAGCAGGATAACACCCTAGCTGATCTGCAGAAGAAGCTGGAAGAATACCGTCTCTACCGCCGCAACCACAAGCCTCCACGTGTAGAGCAGAAGGCCAGGTTGGAGACCAACTTCAATACCTTACAGGTGGGCTGCAATGCTATGTATGATGCTGAAAGTATCTTGGTTTTTGCACTTTATTTCTTTCTTTTTGGAATTCAGATGTTGATATGGTGAATCTTAATGAATTCTTACTTTTCAGACTAAGCTCCGTCTGTCCAATCGCCCTGCCTACCTTCCCTCGGAAGGCAAGAGTGTCACTGACATTGCCAATGCATGGAAGAACCTTGAGGGATGTGAAAAGTCCTTTGAAGAATGGCTGCTCTCTGAGATGATGAGGTAATTGAAAATGAGAAGCAAGTTTCTGGAGTCAAACTTGCTTATTTTAGCTAAGATTTGATTTTAAAAGAATAACAAATTAAATTCATATGTAAAGCTCAATATGTCCTTCACTCTTTTTCAGTATGTATATTTCTTGCTTATCTATTACTCTACAGACTAGAGCGCCTTGAACATCTGGCTAAGAAGTTCAAGCATAAGGCTGAGATCCATGAGTCATGGACTGCTGGAAAGGAGGAGATGTTGCAGAGTCAGGACTTCAGACACTGCAAACTTAATGAACTCAAAGCTCTTAAGAAGAAGCACGAGGCCTTTGAATCTGATCTTGCTGCTCATCAGGTATTAACATGGCCCTTCAATCATGTAACTGGACAAAAGTCGTTACTGTACCTATAATTAGAAAGATATACAGTGAATGTACAAATTTGGTATCTCACATAATATTTCAATTCTCAGGACCGTGTAGAACAGATTGCAGCCATTGCTCAAGAGCTCAATGCTCTGGACTACTACGACTCTGCTACCATTAACAGCCGCTGCCAGGCTATCTGTGACCAGTGGGACCGCTTGGGAACCCTTACCACCTCCCGCAGGAATGCCCTTGAGGAGACTGAGAAACTCCTTGAGAAGATTGACCAGCTTCATCTTGAGTTTGCCAAGAGGGCAGCTGTAAGTGCAAAATCTTGATGTATTAATGTTATAAAGAGATATTTTTAAACTGTCAGTGATGATATATTGATTTAACCTAAAAACTGCACAAAAAAGAAGCTGGGCTATCTAGTGTATAATATATTTTGGTATCTCCCTCTCTCTCTTTGTTCATAGTAATTTGGTGAAAGCAAGGCTTGCCAGGGAAAACTTTTTTTTAGTTGTATAATCTTGTATTCCCACTCCTCAGCCCTTCAACAACTGGCTGGATGGCGCCTGTGAAGACCTTGTGGATATGTTCATTGTTCATACCATTGAAGAAATCCAGGGCTTGATTGATGCCCACAACCAGTTCAAGGCAACTTTAGGAGAAGCAGACAAGGAATACCAGGCTATCATGTCTCTGGTGACCGAGGTTCAACACATTGCCCAGCAGTACCAGATTCCTGGTGGTCTGGACAACCCCTACACCACTCTGACCTCTCAGGTATGACAGTATATTTAGTCATGACAGTTTTTACTGTCTGAGAAGTTATCCAGATGCCTGTAACTCAATCTGTTAAAAAATATCTTTTGATATTTTTAGTAGTGATATTAATATTGTTCAAAATTAAACTAAGGTAGCATAAGTTAAAAGAATAATTGGAGAGTTTATTTAGCCTGTAAAACTCAACTAACACCTAAATACTTAAATGAGAAATAGAACAGCTCCTCAAAATCAAATATGCCTGGAGATCTGACTTACTGAAAAAAAAGTTTTCTTTGATATTCCTAATAATATAGGTCAGCAGTGTCTTATGGATACTAATGCTCTTTGCCAGAATGATTGCAAAGGTTTTGAATGCATTCTCACACTAACCAATTTATTTTTGGGCTCAAGAAATGTTATAGAATTTTTTATGATGCTTATACTGCAAGTGTAGTTGAATGTGTCTCATATGATTATAACAATTTTGTAGCTGATTGTGTCATCTCCCCACATGCTTTCTTAGGATAGTGAAGGGATAATGAGTGCAGTGGAGGTAAAGTTCTTTAAATGATGTTATATTTGAGATGCATGAAGTAGCAATGCACTGTGTAAATATGAAATCACTAGGTAAAGTAAGTGGACATATCAGAGAGACTAAGGAAACACAGTCTTTTGTTTAGCATTATATTATAGATCTAATAGATGGATGAATTGCGCTCCATAAAGAAATTCGGGAATGTATTGTTTGAAAGAAACAACTGCAGCCATTTTATGGTTAGCAACTTTATTTTAAGTACTATCATTTTCATTGTTGTTGATGTTATTTCCATTATTATTATTTTGTTATTTCAATTTAGTTGACACAGATTCACATCAAAGTTTGCAAAGAAATTTAGGATTTGCAGGTGTATTATGAGACGATGATGATGCAGTTTCATTCATATCACCATGAATACTTTTTTATGAATTAATAGAGGTCTTTAGCTGGAGAATTTAATCTGTGTACATGTGTGCGTGTGTGAGTATGCCTGTGTGTATGTGTGCATGTGTATAAATGTATATATGCATGTTTATGCATCTAAGATTCTTGTACTTTATTATTTGATTTTAGTGTAGATAGTTGTTAATTTCCACAAAGTATTTTGCATTGTTTTTATCCTGCTGAATCAATTTTCCTTTATGCTGCAGTCATGTTAGTGAGATATGTTCTGCATATATACAAATATAGGGAATGTGCTCCTCAATTAAAATATGTTGCAATATTTTGTTCTTTTGGATCACTATGGACAAGGACAATAATGATATATAGAAGAAAAAGAATCAAATATTTTTTATGATCTGAAGAATTACATGATAGCATAGGATAGACACATGATTTTTATTCAAAGTGATATATCAACACATGACTGCATCATTGCAGAGTACTGGATAGTATACAGAATGTTGCAGAATTAAACTGTCTTGTTTAGAAGGTTGTAAAAACTATGCAAAATGGACCTGAAGCAGCTTATGTATTTATGCTGACAGCTTGTCATATGCATTCTTGTGTACAAAAAAAATCAAAGGTTTCATAGTGCATTTCTTTGGATAGATGTATAGAAGAATACCACTACAAAAATAGCTGTACATTTCCAAATATTTTAGAAAATGAAACAGAAAATTCAGAAACATTGGCTAATGCTTTGCACAATTATTTTTGTTGCACAAGGTGTCATTGATGTAAGAGAAATCACTGCACAACAGCAATTTTGCATGGAAAACATTTTCACAGGATAATAATTAAGCTTTAAAAGTTGTGAAAATGACTAAATTGGATGAATTACATTTTTGTATGTTTTTGATGAAGTACATGTTTTATGATTATATTATGTTTAAAGTGATGGGAATATCATTTATAGTTGTCACGTTTACGTTACCCAATTTGTTTGTATTTGCTGTCACATATATTCATTTAACTAAAACTATGCTTTATTGCAGGTCATCTCCAGCAAGTGGGGCGAGGTCAAGAAATTGGTGCCTGCTCGTGACAACACACTCCAGGCTGAACTCCAGAAACAGCAGAGTATCCTTTTAATTGAACTACATACTTTTATAAATATGCATTGTTTCAAACTTTATACTTTTTTTTTATTATTATTATTTTGATATATATAAAGTTAGTTTTGTTCCATGAACTCTTCAGATTTAGTGTCGTAAGTATTGCGTGGGTAAAATCTGTAAGAGTCACTGCTTCCCTCTTTTGGAACAATAGTTTGATTAAATGAATAGAATTATTAAAATCAAATTTAACCCATTCATGTCAGGTGGCACATATTCTTGCCATGGTGCACTGAGCCCATATGCCAGGGGGCAAGTATCCATGCAGTAGTAGAGCCTGCTGTATGTTCACTAAATAGTAGTTTAGTTTTAAACCTGGGGCTGGATTTACTAAACACTCTTGTAAACACTGTCTCTCGTAACAATTACGAGAACCATCAACGATTTCTTAACTAGCTACATTACGACCCATTTTCAAAAGCCAAACAACGAGAGCGCAGAGGTCTCGTAACCGTCATGACCGTATTTTCAATCGTTAGGTGTCGTTGGGCTTTATTTCCTCAAAGAACGGCTCGATCGACCAATCACCATTAGCTCGTAAAAAATTGACCAATCACAGATCGTTATCCGCCGATCTGAGGCAACATTAATGAATTTTACTTAAAACAGTTTCTATATCACCACCTGGTGAATCATCACCACCTTTTCTTGATCATTACCATTTTA